GAGCCTAAAATGCATGGTTTTTGGGGTCTGGATTATATTGAAACATCATCAATTTACATGTAAGATGTCTGGGGAATTTCCGCACCGATAAAAGTCATTATGAGATATATATAATCGCTTGTCCTTTAGCAAATTCCCATTTCTTTGGCCAATAATGCTTTTTTCAGTCTTAGATGTGAATAGAAAGATCACCTCTGGACCACTCCTTATATTATACAGTCCATAGATAGTATCCATTTAACCTATTAGTATAAGATGACAAATAGCAGTTTGTGCATTGAGACAGTGGCTGCACGTTGGTGAAATATTTGTATTATGGTGTTTTGATGGCAGTAGATCTGATGATAGGAAATCATACTTCTCCTTTTGCCTCAGTCTGCTCAGATAGGCAAATTATGTTTTACATGTATGTGGCAATGTATAGTACGTAAGTATGACATTGTTGCATGATCTTTCCTTAGGAAACAGGAGGCTTATTTGTAAGAACCTCCTAAGAACAGATCTTGAAATAAAGTAGGCAACAAAGAGATATGTTATTAGAGACATATTTCATTTTAATGTTTATAAATTCCTAATCCCAGTATGGATTTTTGCTACTTGGCATTTAGTGTGTATGAATAATGCAGGAAAGCATTACGGTAGCCTGTATGCAAGGATATGAAACTCATCTCTGAAAATTGCTGTTATTTATATACCAATTACAGTGACTGTCATGAATTATAATAGATGCACAATGTACATACCCTACATATGGGTTAAATACTGTACTTACAGGTAATACGCAAACGTCCCGGAAGAATAAAACTATAGACAAATTTTAATGCAACAGTACACGTCCAATTTCAATTTATCTTACAGTGTTGGTCCAGTTGGATAACCTCCAAGCAGTGGGGGTAAGACAGTATCAAATTAACTGGCCAGCCTGTATCTGGCTGTACCATTATATTTCTGAAGACCGCTGCTGCCGGGGGAGTGTCTGGAAGAACTTTTTCAGAAAGTCTCGCTTTTCCCATGTTCTCACTTGCCCTGAGAGCAAGCCTTTTGCAGAAATCTTTTTGAAGCAAGTGTTCAATTACTACTACTTCCATCCTCCCTTTCTCCAAGGTCTGCTTTCTGCACACAGCTTCATGTGTTCAATGCTTTCCATGGCTAAGTGGTATTTCTTTATGGCCCTGCAAAAGAAATATATATGTATATATAATTATATATTGTAAGAAAATGGTGAGAGCATTGCATTAACTATATGTTGTCAGTCACACAAAAACACGCACGCCCCCAGCACCCCCCCCCCCACAAACACACACACAATATATAGGACCAAATTATGGACGCCTCCGGCCGCTCATGGAGCACCTGCGGCTATAGCATATCTAACGTTATACTGCTGCATCAGATGTATTCGTTTTGTTCTTCTAGCCGGTCTATAATTCACCGAAAAAGCTGGCGGCTGAAAGATGACACACGAGTAGGGACGTAACGTTATATATACAATTTGACCTCAGATAAAAATTTAATACGCAGGTCTTTCCCTAAACCCGGGACGTGTAGGTCCGGCCATGAAATCTGACCCTAGGACTTTATA